TTACTGTTCTAGCCAACACCTGACCATAGGCCCCTGACTACCCTTAAAGCATTTACTAAAAAGGGCTTACAATTCCTCTGTCCTTTTCAGATGTGCATGTATCTCATGCAACTCAAGAGTGTGTTTCTCAAGGACCTGAGAGCTATTAACTTAAAATATAATCTACAGAAAGGACAAGGTCTCTGTCTCCAGGCTCTGTGGAAGGGTGAAATCTTAACCTTGATAATTGCCAGCTAACAGACACAGCTGGCCTGATTAGCATCTATACTGATCAATCCTTTGTAATTTTTCACTTCCCTGACTCTACTGAGCTCCCCTATACCCCCCACTTCCACTCCTTCATTCTTCCTTTAAAATGCCCAGTCACCTCTGTACAAATTGAAGTTGAGTTCAGTTCACACTGGACACTTTCCCTTATTCCAATGGTATATCATCGATTAAAATCTGCCCTTACCACCTTAACTCGTATCTGGCTTTGTTAATCTTTAACTACACCTGCTCATTACAGTGTGCCTAGTCCTTAGCATGGTACTTGGCACATAGTAGATGCTCAATAAATATTTCCTGGAGGAGAAAATATTTATTAAAATAATCCATTTGTTCCAGTTATCTTTTGCTGCATGATAAATCATTCCAAACCTGCATGGTGTAATACCACCACCACCATCTTATTATACGTATGGGTTCTGTGGGTCAGGAATTTCAAAAGGGCATCTCTCTTCTCTGTTCCATGCTGTGTGGAGCCACAGCTGAGATGACTTGAATAGCTGGAGGTGACACGAATGGCTAGGGAGGAGACACTTCCATGATGGCTTTTTCTCTCATCTGCTGATACCTGGACTGGCTGGGCTGGTTGAAGATTGGCTCAGCTGGCACTGTTAGCTGGGGTGTCTACCTGTGGCCTCTCCAACATGATGGTACTGGGATAGTCAGATTTCTTCCCTAGAAGCTCAATGCTTCAAGAACAGTGATCTCATGAACAAAGTGTAAGCTTCGTAGCCTTTTAAACCTAGCTTCAGAAGTCACACAGCTTCAATTTCCATCATATTCTATTGATTGAAGGAAGCAGTTACAGGTCTTCCTGATTCCTGGTGTGTATCTGTCTGTGACTCTTCTACTCTTCTAAGGACAATAGTCATATTGAATCAGGGCCCACTCTAATGACCTCATTTTAACTTGATTACATCTGTAAAGAACTTATTTCCAAATGAAGTCACATTCATAGGTACCAAGGGTTAGGACTTCAACATAGTTCAAAGTCGGGGAGGATTTGCAGCTTTTTTTAAACCACCACACTACTAGAGCCAGATTTTCAGGGAATTCTCTTGCAATTAGTTTTTTGGTATCAGTTAGGATTAGATTTAGCTGCACAGGACAGAAAACACACAAAGACAGTGGCTTAAATGAGATAGAAGTTTATCTCTTTTTCACATAAAAGAAGCCTGAAAGGAAGCAGACAGGACTGGTTCAGTGTCCACAGTGTTAGGTACATGGGCTGCTTCTGCCCTGTTGTTCACCATTCTCAGTGGATGACCTTTACCTCATGACCCAAGGTAGTTGCTTGAGCTCCAGCCTTCACATCCACAATCCAGCCAGCAGGAAGAAGGAAGGATAAAGAAGTTTCCCTTAAGGACATTACTTAGAAGGCCCACCTGACACCACCACTTGTAGCCCTTTGGTGGAACACTGACTTACATGGTCATGCCTAGCTACAAGGGAGGCTGGGAAATCTAGTTTTTATTCTGCCCAGAGAAACAGACAAAAAACCAAGGGTTCTGCTGTTGAGGAAGAAGAGGAGAATGGATATTGGCTGACATCCAGCCACTCCTTCTTACTCCTTTCTACTTCCTGTTCTACCACTGACAAGCTGTGGCTCTGGACAGCACACTTACTTTGGCCTTTTTATGATTCCCGGGGTAACTAGGGAGGAGCGTACTGCAGTCTAATAGGGAAGCTCAAAGTATTAAACAGATAAATATGTCAGCACTTTGGTCTCAGGGAGGAGAACTGGAGCCCCACCCGGTCAGCCTCCTTTTTACTTTCCTGGGGTTCTTGGGAGCAGATTTTGAAACTCCCAGATTAGATTACCACTGAGGCCCTTCCAGCAACAAGACCCTAGGAATTCATGTTTGTTATGTTTTGGGAGTAACCCCTCCCTGCACTTAACCACCCTGTGCCCTCCATCAGATACCTCTCCAGTGAGTTCAAGTAGGTACCTAAGGAAGCTGAGTGGGAGATATGCAGCCAGACATTAATTGAGCACTTACTGTGTGTTTGACACTGTACCAAGCTCTGGGCTTATTCTAAATCCCTTACATTCTTTCTAAGGCCGGGGTATGAATTAAACACAGCCTAATATATCAAGTGCCATAACAAAGTGTGATGGTGTTATGAACTGAACTATGTCCCCCGGAAAGATATGTTCCTAACCCTTGCTACCTGTGAATGTGACTTTATTTGGAAATAGGTTCTTTACAGATGTAATGAAGTTAAAGTGAGGTCATTAGAGTGGTCCCTGATCCAATATGGCTACTGTCCTTAAGAGAGTAGAAGAGTCACTGAGGCAGACACACTGGGAGAAAGCCAAATGACAATGGAGGCAGAGATTGGAGCGATGCATCTATAATCCAAGGGATGCCACGGATTGCCAGCAACAGCGGAAACTAGGAAAGGTATGAAACAGTTCTTCCCTAGAGCCTTCAGAGTGAACGTGGCCCTGCTGACACCTTGATCTCAGACTTCGAGTCTCCAAAACTGTGGGAGAATAAATTTCTGTTGTTTTAAGGGACTCAGTTTGTGGCAGGTTTTTATGGCCGCCCTAGGAAACTAACATAGTCAGTTTGATGTGTCAACTTGGCTGTATGCATTATTATTATCTCCAGTTATTCATTCAAATGCTAACTTTGGTGCTGCTGTGAAGGTATTTTTTAGATGTGATTAAAGTCTATAATCAGTTGACTTTGAGTAAAGAAGATCATCTGGGTGGGCCTTATTCAATCAGTTGAAAGCCCTTAAGAGCAGAACTGAGGTTGCCCTGAAAAACGAGACATCATCTGCTTGTGGACTGCAGCTCCAGCTGATGCCCAGGAGTTCCAGCCGCCCTTCCTGATGGCCTGCCCTGTGGATTTCAGATCTCCTAACAAGCCCCACAATTGTGTGGGCCAATTCCTTCTAATAAATCTCTTAATATATCTCCTGCTGGTTCTGTTTCTCTGGTGCAACCCTACACAAAGGGATGATGCAATCTAGAAATACATTTGCCTAAAAGACTGTGGAATTGCTGAAGGCTTCAGAGGGGATGGATTTTGGCAGGGTGTTGAAGGATGGGTGTGGTTTGCTAGGTGGGGAAGGGCATTTCAACCAGAGGGAACAGCACATGCAAAGACATGGAATGGTGAATCCTAGTCTTCTCTTACCCCAGTGCCTGGAAGTAGGAGTGGCAGAGTTTTTATCTTGATTACTGAGTTTTTTGGGTTTTTGCCCCCCACCTATATTTTACCCCTAGGAGACAGCCTCACCCTTCACTTTATCTTGGCTCTGTTAAATATTTCCACCACCCTTGAGACTCCCTCATTCCCTCAATACCTCCAAAGGAAACCTCTAGCCAAGACCAGGGGTACTTAACACGGATGGATGGCCTGGGGTGTGTGGGATCATATTATACATGTGTATGCATGTGTTCTGTTGAGGGGATGGTTCATTGCTTTGATCAGTTTCTTGGAGGTGTCTGTAAAGTGGGGAATAGGAAACACAGCTTTGGACAAATAGGGAGCCAGGCGAGGGTTTGCTTTTCGAGGGCTCCAAAGAGTATGGCAGAGGGCAGGCCGCAGGCCCAGGGGTCCGTGAGACAGCCTGGTTGGGGTCTATCAGCCTCACTGCGCCTCAGTCTTCTCATCTGTAACATGGAGTTGATAATCTTAGTTGGTAATCCTTTTACTTGACAGCGTAAAGATCAGATGAGATGGGCCGGCCCGTGGCTCACTCGGGAGAGTGCGGTGCTGATAACACCAAGGCCCCGGGTTCGGATCCCATATAGGGATGGCCGGTTCGCTCACTGGGTGAGCGTGGTGCTGACACCACCAAGTCAAGGGTTAAGATCCCCTCACCGGTCATCTTTAAAAAAAAAAAAAAAAAAAGATCAGTAGTAAAACTGGTAGCACACCGCGGGGTGCACTCGGCCATCACTTACTGAGCGCTTACGACGTGCCAGGCGCTGAGCTAAGGTTTTCAGCGCCTTTGCCTCTTTAATAACGCACACAGCGCTAGGAGGAAGGTGCGAGTCTCAGGCAGCCCACGTGGGGACCCGGTCAAGATTAGCCGCCCTCCGGGCCGGCGGGGCGGGAAGGGGGGGGCGCGCAGGTGGGGCGGGCCGGGGGCGGGGCGGC